TTGCTTATGTGTTATATATATATATATCCATAAGTAGTAAGCTTGTTTCAGAATATCGTTTTATTAGATATGTAATTATATTTGTTCCTTCTATTAGTTACAACTGGATAGTCCATGCCGCTTCGTGTTAAATGGCAGTCTTCTTGTATAAAAATTTCTCGAATAATAATTTAGCGCAATGATATAATTTAATACAGAATGTACTGTGAATGAATGAAGGCTTATACAATATACAGGATCTCAGCTTTCGTTACCGAGTACGTAACTTAAATGTTTGTTTGAATATTTGAATGAAAACTGTCTATAGCATGAGAATTTTAACGGGATATTGTATGCTTTGTTATCGTTTTTCTCCGCCTCTTCACGGTACATTAATTTCTCTGAATTTCACTTAAAAACATACGTGTATTCCAGTGTTTCCGCCTACAAAGTAGAAATTTATATATCGCTAAATTCTCTGGTTTATATACGCTCACATATAATACTGCCTTATATATAAAGTTGTTTGCGAATGGCTCCTTTCATTCCATTCATATTTACATAATACTTATGTGTATTAAATCTGAAATCGTCACATATTTATTCATAAGTATGTGTATGACCTACATAAAACTTTTCATATGAATTCCTAATTAAATCTTCGGTTTTCATTTAACAGTTTACAGTTCAGTTTCAGATATGATAATGTTTCACTTTAGAAGATAAACGACTTATTTTGAAGTCATTTCTAGTTAATGTTATAAATCCAGTAATGGACCAACATTATCGCGTGTATAGGCCCAGGTTAAAATAAGTAGATGGACGAATATTTACACTATTAGCTGCACCTTTAGGAATAAGCAATTATACGCACATACACATCATTCTTATTACCATTTAAAAGTATGAAGATAGGTGTGTACACATTTGTGTGAATACACTTTTTTGTCCGTATTTGTAATATATATTACATCAGGTTTTATTCAAGAGACTCTTACTCAAAGTGTATTCTGAATGTTAACTATTATCCGAGAAAACACCAAAACATCAACTCACCACGTCAATTATCTGCTGAAGTGTAAGGCCGAACTTCACTTCCAGGGGTTCTGACTCATTTGCTACAGGCCTTTCCAAAACGTTGTACTTATCTAGAAGGTTGTTGAGGAGTTTCTTTTCGTGGGTCCCTTGTTCAGTGCCTGAAACAAAATACATTTCAACATCAACTAACTAGCTAACATAAAGGCAGCAGTACACAAATTATGTATAATAATGAAACCCACCATTGGACTCTCCTGATATTGCCTGATATTCATTAAGTCATTGGCCAATTTTCCATCTTCCACCCTGATCTTTGCCACTAGTAATCCCATCAAAATTTTACAAGCATTCCCCATCTCAGCTGTCTTATCCTCCTATAATAATAATAATAATAATAATAATAATAATAATGATACAAAGTAACTTGTGTAAAACACGCGAAATTTCAAGTTATCACAGCGGCTAACATGAAGTTGGTCGCCCTGATGATGGAGGCACAAAGCACATGTGAAACGTTGGTAAACGTTTACCAAAATTTACGGTGCTACAACGAAGAAAAAACCATCGTCGCTTGAATAAAATATTGAATTTTATTTTAATTGTGTAAGTAAGATTCAAGTCCTCCAATGCTTCTTAAATTTAGAAATGAAATTAATTTTCCAATTATTCATCCCGATATAGCCTGTGTGTTACATTGTGGATTTATAAAGTGGAAATTCATTTTCCAAACGTTTTCCTCAAATGTTGTCGTTCTTCATATCAGGAATTGTCCGAGCCGAAATTAGAATATGTACCTTCTGAACACGAAAGATGAATAGTGCATCGCGATATTTAATAGGTAATGAGTTTCCTTGCTTCTTTCGTTTCATTTTCCCTCGGTGTGTATGGCTTACGATATGATCTCCCTGTAGTACGGGGTGGGGTGCAGACACGAATTAGTGTCTGCATAACACATTTAGTGCTCCTGTTGAATTAATGAACTGTCATGTATCATTAATTTTAGAATGTTTCCTTACTCGTGTCTAATAAAGACGAAACTTGGTTACACTAAGACAAACAAGAAAACGCATCATGGACGTCATTTGTTATTAACTTATATTCAGGATTGTAATACGTGTACATAACCACGGAGAGGTTGTCTTGCTCAGTGTTTAAACGATCAAGATTCGAACGTTTATGAAACAGAACTTGTGTTAGGTGTAATTTGTTTGGTTACTATATTTTGAATATTATATAACATTTTTTTTTGGTTGCAAGAAATAAGGATACTAAGTTTGGGATATAATGGAAACCTCTTCTTGAGTTATAAATGAACACATAACCACAATTTTAATTTTATATCCAAGATAGATGGTAGAAGTAAGAAAATATATACGGATAGAGGAATATACACAAATCGATGAAGGAATGGGTGGTCTGATGGATTGAGAGAGAGGAATAGGGTAAGGCGAACGATAGTTTATATACATGAGTATAAACAAAGCGGAGTTAACACACACAAACACACAGTTAACTACATGGAGTCAGTGGCCTCTTTACCCTCCAGCGGTTGCCGATAAACATGCAGAATTTGCTGTGGAGGGCGGAATTGTAGCTGGCTGCAGAAACGAACGCCATGCCAATATTGGCGGCTTCTGCGCTGTACCTTGGTTTATATAACGATTCTTTAGAGATCGTGTAGGTATGCGGAGGGACTCGAAGCTGTGGTAAAATATTGAGGAGGTAGCTGGGGAGTTGCAGCAGCAAGTGTAAATAATGTTTTTGTCTGTTCAATACGCTCTTCGTATAACGACGTTTTACATTAAATTTTATCGTTTGATGGAGCTTCGCGTTGAGAGCTCGTGGAAGAACAGTTATCGGATTTGGACGGACAATAGTACCGGCTGACAAGAGTGACATGTCCTCACGACACGAATAGAAAAGTAACAAAAAAGTATTACTCTTGAAGCACTAGTGAAAAATGCTACAAATTCAGAATTTTATATATCAGTTGCTTTGCAATCATAGATTTGTTATGTAAAACGAACAATAATGAAAATTATGCGAACGTAAACGTGTTGTAAATCGAAAACTGTGTCAGATCTGAAAAAATTCCTATTTATGTGTTTCATAAGATTCTTACTATAAACAGAGATTATTATCCCAAACGTCATAAGCCGATTGAGCTTTGTAACGAAATGTTGTGTTTTCTTTACGGTAAGAGTTGAATTTTATATGCTATCTTAGGGCCCCATTTTGACAAACATGAAAGATTTCGAGCACTGTTGTTGGACTGATCTGTTATAGGGCATATCATATTACGCAATGAAGAAAATTGAAGTCTAATTCAAGGATTCAATTAGATATAGACGGGCAGTGCCCCATCGTAGATATCAAAGTTTCATAAATGTCTCAATTTAAATGATTTCCTGTGGCCTGTTGCATAATTTTTAATTACGAATGACGAATACATGTTTATAAGATCTATTCAGTTTTATTTTAAGATATTAATTTTTATGTTTTAATCAAATACTCGTGTCTGTGAAAGTGAAATAAATATTGATTGTTCTGTGTGCAGGTTTCCTGTAAAATATATTTTGACACAGAGTTCTTGACAGTAGAATTCCGATCCGTCATCCATGACCAAGAGATATTGAATGAAGGTTACATATATTTTTGTTGTTGGTTAATAAATTTCTATGTTATTACATTACCATGTTAAGGCGCGCTTATCATTAACAGCATGGAAGCAAGTTTACATGAATGAAGATATTTAAATTCAAACTCACTGACGCCTGTGAGCGGACAGCCAGCTAAACTAGTAACAAGTAGATGCCCCCCAGATCAACAACACCCATGCTCTGCGTAGTTGACGGCCTTGATGCTCATTTGTTGACAGGGTTGTTGTACAGCACAAAATCATTACTGCGTCGTAATAAACTTTTATTTTTATTCACAAAGATAAAAATAAAGCAGTTATTACACTTCACAGTTAATAACATGACGTCTTCATGTTCAATTTTGAAAGTTTGTGACGACAGTGCGTTTTCTGGGCATTATCCATCGTCCAATATTAAATAAAATCAATAAAACTACGACGTTTCGGAGATTGGGTTCTATCTCCGTCTTCACGCAAAACCTACTCTGTTGGGCCCAATCGATAGAGCTAATCCCTACCTCCGGAGATAGGGATTCATTCGACTCGTGACAGGGACCGATGGCAGGAAAATTATCTACAAGTGAACGACTGTTAGCCTATCACGAAGGACCCTGCTCCACGCAGTTGCAGTGTTGATGTTTATTTATTGTAAATATTGATCTTTGTCGCAAAGCTAACCAGAATTTCAGTATACACAGTAAATCCAAACATAAATGTGGTTGGCAACAAAGCTAATGGACACATTCCGTTATGCTAACACAGAGACGTACTTTGTGATAAGATAGGTTTATATTGAAGACGTATAGACAAAAATATAACGCGTGTGGCAACTTCAATAGCATAGACGAACGCTGGCAAATTTAATCGCAGTCGATTGAGTATTTTTTGGAAATGAAACTTCCTGACAAAACAGTCGCACTCCTTGTAATTATATTAATTGTATCCATTTCGTGAGGAAAAGAGAAACGTTCTTGCTAATTGTTTGGCTGTCGGCGCGTGTGAATGCATCAGGGAAATGGGAATTGTTTGCTATTGATACAGCTTGGAGCTAGGGCCAAGGCTCGTGTGCAGCGGGGTTCGCGTTGCCAGGCAACGGTCTCCCTGTTGCTGCAAATTCCCATCACCTACATCCAGCATCCACCACTTGCAGGCAATCGCTAACTTCGCTTTCTACATTTTATAGCTTCGCTATTTGATACTCGTGTTTCATACAAATGTGTGGTTACTTCACGTCGATACGCACTTACCAGTGACCGTTCCTTCCATTAAATAAAATGTAAAAAATCTTAGGTCGCCTATTTGTGTTAAAATATTCCCGTCTCTTTAAATTTAGACTTAAATCCTGAACTTATTCACCCATTAGGGGACAAAACTTAGACATGACAATTGTTAAGATAGAGATGACTGTCTTCTGGGCTAAAGCACCCTGTAGTCTGGTAGAAGTTTACGATCATCGCCCTGATGATGGAGGCAGCAAAGACCTCTGAAACGTTGGTAAACTTTAGCAGACTACACGGTGCTTCAACCCAGAAGACAATCATCTTTATACTCGCTGCCGTGAGAACCTCAAATGCTACTTAATAATAAAATAGTTATTAATTAAATGTGGTTTTGATCTCGCCCAAGATAGCTCAGTGGTGGGTTCCATAAAAGACGGGTATCTTTTCCTATGTAAGTCACCAGCAACTTAACTAGTAAACTGTATTAAACCAAAATTTCCTAATTTGCTAACGTAAAATTTCATTTTGAATTTTAACAGGAAATTCATAGGCGTAACGACATACTAACTTCAGTGATGTCGCCATGTGAAATACTTTGATATAAATAATCGTATTATAGGCAGGTCGCGAGAGTGTCTGAAACATGTCTGTCCGCTACACCTTTTGTGGGGGTTTCAAGGATTTATAGCCCCAAGTCAGGTGAACTCTCTTTCCACCTTAAAGCAACTGCTGGAACCTGATTCTTGTCTACCACTGGAATAACCATAGTCAGCCTGCTAGCACCCAGTTTATATCTCGTCGTCTGTGTTTATACAGAATGTTCTATTTAAAACGCGAGCCTATCTACTGCATATGACAAACTTCACGTACAAAACCGACGAATTCAATACTTGAAGGCTTACTGGCGTATCCCGTTCTTGCAACTGATGCACTGCTTGAAATTGGTACAGACATAATTTCAGATGTTTTATAACTCATTATCCGAATTGACAAAGAGCTTTATTTCGTTTCGTGGATGAACTTCGGTGAATCAAAACCTGGATGAATTAATTTCCGGACAGTTTAAGTTAATATTGTGTGTTAATGCTTCTTATCGACCGCGAAGAATTAGTTTCATTGTGTCCCCTTAAAAGGGTCGTCTTGTATGCAGTTAACTGGATAACGAGTTAGTGTAGCTTTTCAGGAAGAAAGTTATAATGTGGGAGACAAATTTCTGAAGATCAGAAGGACTTCAACCGCAGACTTCCTGTCATTAAGGACGCTGTCGTGCTGGAAATGAGCTGTCGCGAATTGAGATTGG